TGCTAAGCAACAACTCAGAAGGCAGAAATAATTTAATCCAGCAGATTTGCACCAGTTTAGGCTTTGACCTGGGTGTTTACTACACAGAAGACATAGCAAGAGGAAGGGAGAACATAACCAGACACAAACACTTGCCTGAAATCAGAAGATAACAGGGCTGGAGAAATCAAACACTTTGGCAGCCTGTAAATCTCCAGGAAAATGTCCCTCAAACTGACCCTCAGCTAACTGTCCAGCAAGAGAGCAAAAGGCTTCTTTATACTTTACAAAACCACCAGAACCACTTGCTTTTAAAATCTATTAAAATAAGCTAAAAAATCCTTCTCTCATTGAAATTCTTCCATGTTAATGATAATTAATGAAAAAAACCAGTTTCCTAAGTGAAAGGAAATATATTAGCATTCCAAAAGCACAGAGCATTAGCTACTCTTTAATTAAATTATTTCAAAGAAGATCTTTGTATATAATTGCTATAATTTAGATGGAAACAATACTACATGTATTACTATGTAATTAGAGGAGTGCGAACAGAGAGGGATGTTTTCCTCTGTGCTGCAGAGATGGTCCTAGGTCATCTGATTCCTAAAGTAGCAACTTTTCTCCCTTCCTTGCTAATAAAAAGCTTCTTGAGCCTGATCAACCATTGCAGTGCAGCCTTCAGAGGTAAGAGCTGCTCACAGGCAGAGAAGCTAGCAAGCAATTGCACCCTGCGTGTACTGCTCACCAATAACAAATGCAACCCGGACACCTACAGCACTTTTGATTGACCAGCCAACATGACGAAGGCTACTTTACATTTCAGGATGATTCTGTTGTGCATTTAAAAATTCTGTGAGAGTAAGCAAATACAAGGAATGGAAGAGAGTGCTATGTTATCTGTGGGGCTTCACTAGATTCTCAGACAACTTTCCTTAAGAAGTGATGAAAACTCTCATCTTTTGTGGAATTAAAAATGGGCTAAACAAACCATCACAGGGAACAGACCCTGACTGAGCACAATCAGGTACGGCAGCTGAATCCTGCTTTCATCAGTTTTGTGAGCTACATCACTGGGTAATTTTCCATAGTGACTAAGGTGCACGCCCCATGACCTCTCCCCACCATATCTGTTTTGGCAGATATGACCTCCCATCAACTGAGAGGGTTGGGCAGACAGCAAAGAGCTGCAACACATTACAGCTGCTAGTGTTTGGCTGTCAATAAGCGCTTAGCATTAAGAGCTCCAGTATTAACACCTGGATTTTTGCATCCAGTGTGGCTGGACAAAACAAGTCCTAAGGGAAGAGATGGAAAAACAGATTGGTGGGAGATCCTACTCAACTGGTGAGTCTTCACATTGCTTTGAAGATACCATCTAATGTATCTTATCTGATTCGCATGTGCCTTTGCTTCTTATTTACTTTGTCTGCTCACTAAATTAGAGAGTTGGCTTTTTAAAATAAAGACAGCTAAACTACCAAGATGATACAGGGAAGAAGGGGACAAAGTACTATGAATTTTGCCTCAATAACTTTGTCTATCTAACTGTCATGGTCTAACTGAAAGCTCTTAACTGCTTGTTGCAGGGCTAGAAGACCAAAGGAGAGAGCTGGGGTTTCAAGGTCCAAATCTAGGAAACCAACACAAAAAGCACGTTTTGATTTTTTCCATCTAAGCAGTCTGATCTGGAAGACCTTGAGAAGCAATAAATACAAGAGCCCAGGTAGCATTTAGACAGTTTTCTGACTAAGCTCAATTTAGCAAACATTCTCCAACCTAAGCCATGGAATGGTAATTTACAGGCTTTAGACAGGATAGATTTTGTTCTGTCCCTCAGAGTAAGCAGTTAAAACTCCATATAAAATCTCAGCTAATGGGACAGCATCTTCTCAACTGGCTCTATGCATAACTCACAGTGAAACAATTGCTAGGAAACCAGAAAATGCTTCTCAATCTTTTCTTTGGAAAAACAAGGCAAGGCTTTTCTTGCCAGGCTTGGATGTCATTAATTTACAGAAAAATTATTAGGAACCTAGAAAACAATTCTGAAATGCTTACAGATTCATGACAGAGTCATTTTGGAAAAGGTCATTGGTAATGCTGTTATAACTGTAGCTTTCATTAATTTTTTAAATACACAATAACTTACAAATGTGGTATACATCAGATAACCTTGTGCAGAAACTAGGCAGAAAAAGGCTTTTTACATTTATACAGTGTTCTTTTGTCAAATTGACTTGGTTTTGCCTTACCATTCCTTGCATTGTTAATAGTTGTGCTTTTTATGTAATTCA